CTTCATTTGCATATTTGGCATTGAAGTAATTCAAAAGTAACTAAAAGTAATCAGATTACATTACTTTTATTTTGTGATACTTGGATTACGTTACCGATTACATTTTTAAAGTAACCCTCCAACCCTACAATTGAACCATTTGCCATTGCTGTGAGAGGACATAGAGGAATCATGGGTATAGGCATCGGAGAATCTGATCATCAAATAGCTCTTTACGCTGATGATGTCATTCTTTTTCTTAGAAATTTAGATAAGTCTATTCCATCCCTTCTGAACCTAATTAAGATATTGGGTAGATTGTCTGGCTATAAAATTAATAATTCCAAATCTTCCATAATGCTTCTCAATTCCAGGGAAAGCTCGGATCCACCCACTCATGTTTGCCACTTTAGAACAGTGGACTCCTTTACATACCTAGGAATTCAAATTGTTCCTACACTGGAAAACTTAGTTGAGGCACAATGGTGCACAATGGTGGCATTCATATCCAAATCAAGTGTGGGATAGTCCGGTCTTCCCATCTCTCTGATTGGCAAAATTAATATACTTAAAATGAACATTCTGCCCAAATTTCTATATTTATTTCAGAATATCCCCCTGCCCCCTTCTTCAGACTTTTTCCACAGAATGAAAAAATTTAAGAGACAGACGAAGTCTCTTTTACAACTATCCTGGAAGGATATCGAATCACACTCCCTAAGTCTCCCATTCCCATCTTACTTATACTCGGATCAACCTAAAAAACTAAATGTTGTGTTTGACTCCTATAGTTAAAAACATGATTGGATTCTGGCAAGTTAAATAATACTTAAAAGACCCTCTCTCCCTCTCTTACTTCAGTCCAATCTGGGGCAAGAACTTCTTCAGACCAGGCAGAGCCGATGCTGGCTTCAGGTTATGGGCAGATAGGGTACAACAAGTAAAAGATATTTATGGTGACGATGGCAATATTTTAACCTTTGAGGATTTAATTAGAAAATATAACATCCCCCGTCGTAGTGCCGCCTGCTGGCAACAGGAAGTGACCTTTAACAAAGCACCCCCAGTGGAATGTTTCACCTACATTTATGAAATTTCTGTGGCACACATATTATGACCAGATGTACCAAAAAGCCTCTTGGAGTGATGCCCTAAATCCAACAGTAAGTCGGCCATTTTGAATTTTAAGGTAATTTTTAGATGATTTCCACACTATGTACTTTAACAAACTCCTCCTAAACAATTAGTCTGAGCAACATCAGATTTTCCTTGTCTACTCTAAAGCCATTGACGATTAAATGTTGTACAAACAGTGAGTTTTCGTGGAACGGCACGCCATCCAAAATCAATGATTCGACCATTGAAGAGGAAGTTGTTGTGCCTTGACTGTACATGCTCTGATCTGCACCAAACTTTACGTGCTTTTTACAGTCATGCCACAAACCCATCAACATGCCAATATTCAGTTAGTTATAGTCATAGCGCCAAGTGCTGTGTAGCGCCACAAAGGGAACACAGGAAGTGTTGAAGTGAACACTTTTGTGCAGCGTCCCAATGCTTGGCAAATTCACGGACGCACCGGCAGAGCTCCATAATCTGCAAAGCAGCTGCCTCACACCTCGAAACGCTACACATGTGAGGGCCTGCCAAAGCTGCTTGCAGCTTTAATTTATTAATAGATTTGCAAGGCGCCTTACTTGGTCATCAGTGTAACTTCAATATTTGAGCCGCTCATATTCCTTGTCCCGGTTTGAATTTTAAAAAATGTTACCAACTGTGCCTAGAAGTAGCCCAGTCCAGCCTGACCTGCTTCCCATTCATTCAGACTGGGCTAGATTAACCATGACACCGCAAAACTATATGCTCTGTGCTGCTTGCTATTTGCAATCTGGATTAGCAAAATCCACATTAATTGATACAGTGCACCACACAAAAGGGCATATAAATTTAAGAGGTTACTGGTTAAGTGAGACAATAGAAGAGAGTGATTACGAAAATGCGAGTAAGAATTATTCCCATTCTGTGAGATACAATTTTTTTTTGCCTTTTTGGCACGTACTCCATCCGTCTCATGTTCATCCATCGTTAAATCCTTGCGCTGCTGTTCTTTTTTTAACCAGTCTTTTTTTTTTGTTTTATTGTCACTCAATGTTCCACACTGCCAACTGCTATATAGGAGGGGAATGTAGCAAACATATCAAATACACACAGCAGTTGTTTTTTTTAAGAAAGGTGGGAGATTTACGGGAAAATATTTAAACAGGAGGACAGCGAGAGAGAATGGTAAAATACAGGAGAATCCTTGGAAAAACAGGAGGGTTGACAGGTATGAATGATTAATTCATTCATTCATTCAAATTGAGTTTTGACATTTTTGACCTTTTCTACTGTCTCTGTTGTGTACATTTGATGTGTATCCTGAATTTGGAAAGCACTTTGGTCAACTAGGGTTGTTTTTAAATGTGCTATATAAGTAAATCTGAACTTGAACTTGAACTTGAATCTACAGAGGGTGCAACTGCAGTTCTCCCTCCTGAGGCTCCTACTGTCTGTGAGTCAATGGGGTTTGAGGATTACCTCCTTCTTGTATGGAGGCGTTAATAGGTCAGAATTAATACTAAAAGTCCAAATTAAAAATAGAGCCGCAAGCGTCGATTTGCGGGTTCAAAACTTTTTCCGCATTAGCGACTTCAATATAATATCACACATGTAGTTTAACAATGTTATATTGTTAATTAATGTTTTTATAAATAAAAAATGGCCGACTTCCTGTTGGCTGTTGACCCACCTTGCATGTGTGCAAAGAACTCAGGCTGCAGTTACAACAGAGAGCGAATGAGAGACGACTGAGACTTTCCAATCAATTAAGGTTCAGAGCTAAAATACTAAACCTCCACTGAGGAAGATTTTGACATTTTGAGGGAGAAAAGGAATGTGGCTACATTTTGGTGCCTTAATTTTTGCTTATGTAGATAAATATACGCAATCTCCTGAACAGGGTGTGCATTTTGAAGTTGGAACAAAGTTTCTAGGACAAACGGTGCAAGAGAAGATAGATATTATTATATATAATAAATAAATAATTAAATAATAAAGAGTGAAGACATCTAAAGTGTGAGCTACAGCTCTCACACTAACTAGAATGGGCAATTCCTTGAAAAATGCGTGAGAGCTGCCAGCTATTTTTTGCGATTGCTACCGCTGTCGCTGCAATGTGCTGCTCCATCAGCAATTTTTTTAAATCTTGTAGCGCCACCTACATCTAAGAGACTCAAGGATGTGCCGCACACTTGCTCAGCAAACATATGTGTTAAGCTTTGCTCCATTTGGTTAACATACTTTGAGCGGGTTTGATCCATCAATCTCTGGATCCAAAGAGCAAGACCCTAACCACCAGATTACTCAGATACACTGTGGAGGGAAGGCTTCCAAGTTTCTATGTCAATCATGTGTCTTATTCTGACAAAAAATGCCTCCTACGCACCAACAGAAGGCATGTTTTGCTTATAAACACATTGTGACGTCTACTCCACTGTCAACAGTGGAGTAGACATCACAGAAAATAACTGTATAAATGTCAGCCAAAGAATTATGCTGTGAAAGACTTTATTTCATGTAAACAATGATTGCATTTAGAAAGACTGACAACATACAATTTTGAAAGTAACCACTGCAAGTCAGTAGGGACTCCACATTTTGTTAGCATCAAGTTCAAACAACAAACAGCTGTGTAAATTCACAAGCTATATATTAATATTGTGAATCGAATCAGTGTCTGGCACATGAGTGGTACTCTGAGGACAGTCTCTTTACCTCTAAACTATTGCATCGCACTGCTTTTTGGCTTTTTTGGTAAAGTGCATTTGCCTTAAAAATTAAGCTTTTCAGCTGTCATTTGGGTATTTTTAGTTACAGCTTGAGCAGCTGTGCATGAAAACACATAGCATGGGTCTAGATTACAATTAGGAAGAAAGATAATGCAAGTTGAAGAGTGTGAGAGTTACAGTCTGTTTCTTACACCATTGATGAAACGCCCACCTCATCAAGCTGGGCGCTGAAATGAGGCATAAAAGCCTGGGAGTGCTTTAAGCTGCTGCTTTCAACATATAGAGATTTCTCTACATGCCATAATGTTGACAGACATGTTTCTGGACTGTGAAGATATGATCTGTAGCCTTTATGTATTGGTGCCAACCCAACAGGTGGTATGCTCCTCTGACAGAGATCACAGCGGCACGCTTTACCAGAACAATGGACAGATGATGCAGCTGTGCCACACGTCATATTTCATTGACGTCGCTTTAAAATGACGGCTCCGAGGAAAGACTGTCTCGTGGGAGGAACTACGCGATGCGAGGAGAGGAGTTAAGCAGGCAGGCTACAAACTGAGAAATGAGAAAGGCCTGAGTTTGGTAAGCCTGTTGGTGCAGTTTCCGCCCCACCTCCTCGTCCCCATCCCTTCCTCCCATAGGACTTTCAACGTCACGACTACTGTTTAGGTATAGGAATCTTTTCTCGCGACATTTCCCTCTCCTTTTAAAAACAAAGAGACACGGTCGATGACATCTCGCGAGGTTCCCCTCAGCGGGAGCCCACCCCTTCAGTGATGCCGACTGCAGTGTGTATAATATCAGGGAGGGAAGCTCTGGGAGTCTAGGAGGAGCTGCGGCAAGGTCGACAATAGCATCCTGCCCTGGAAAACAGAAAGCCCAGTGGCTCCGAGCGAGCGAGCGAGCGAAAGTAAGTAAGTAAACCGGGAGAATTTGGATTTACTGCCACGGAAAGAGAAGGAGGAGAGTGACTGAAAGTTTCCAGCCTCATGTTCCGGGGCAGCTAACGAGCTATCCTTCACTACTACGTTTACGTTACCGCTCTCGGCACGGCTGCCTTACGTTTCTACTGACTAGATCAGAGGTGTGTGTTTGTCACGGAGCTTCCATACTTCCTCCAGTTAGTTTTGCGGTCCATAACGTGGCCATTTCCCCCACCCGGCTTTGACGTTCATTGGTGTTTTTTGTGACATGTCAGCGCCATCCTCCGCGCCTTCCGCCCCGGCGGAGAGCGCCGCGACGGAAAACGATTGTCTGTCCCCGGATGCAGGGCTGAGGCCGCCCGGTCCGACGCCCAGCCAGAGCCGATTCCAGGTGGACCTTGTGGCTGAGGCAGCGGGCGCCCCCGAAGACAAGTCCCCGAACTCCGACACCTCCACTACTGTTCTATCCAGCGATAAGGCCTCTTCCGCCGCTCCTCCAGATGGTCCGGGTGCTGATCCAGGGGTCGTCGGAGAGGAAGCCAAAGGCCGGTTTCGGGTGGTGAACTTTGCGGATCCGAGCGGAGCGGGGAGCCCGGCCTCTCCGGAGGCAGCGCCTGCCGAGGGGCTGCAGAATGGGGACACTGTGATGAGCGAGACCAGTTTGCATTCATCTACAGGGGGCCAGCATCACTATCATTATGACACCCACACCAATACTTATTACCTGAGGACTTTTGGCCATAACACCATCGATGCTGTGCCCAACATCGATTTCTACCGGCAGACAGCTGCCCCGCTGGGGGAGAAGCTCATCAGACCCACCCTGTCGGAGCTGCATGACGAGCTGGACAAGGTAAGCTGCCACACAGGGCTGTGAGAGCATTGACGGGCATGACGCTGTAGAGAGAGAACCGCTCATATTGTCCAGTAGAAATCAGCTTATAACGTTAATAAGTCTTTGTAATCACATATTATGCCCGCCGCGACTTCCAGAGGACGAGCACGCCAGTCACTCACATCATCAATTCATCCTCCATCCCAGGTCATGTGCTGTGCAGAGATATTTGTAGTCTGTGCACATGTGCAGACAGAAACAACACGTGCTTTTCTTACCCCTTTTAGGCCACAGAAATCACGCATGGCTGCTTTGTTTTTGTTGCAGTGACAAATTTAAGTGTTAATACCGAAGCTGTGGCTGACAGAGCAGAAGGTAGTCTCATCACAACAAATGGAGTTTGGTTGTATGTGTACAGCTGATGTTTCTGTGGTGCTGGCATTTTATTTCCATCATGAACACCCTTATCAAAAGAAAGGTGTAATTTAAGCTTGTTGTAATTGGTCAGGTAATTCTCTTGAGAATGGCACACCCTGACTCTGATTGAATGCCATTTTCTGTTAGGAGTGGCAATTTACTAGTGTGCAGTGAGGACTTCATGGCCTGTTTGTCCTCTGAAATGTTCCATATAATTCACTTGGTAATAATTCGCGGCAGTTTGAACATTACCACCATATTTGATAGTTGAACATTGATTCCATCACCATGGGCATTTTTGTGCTGACACAACAGCCTCCACTCTTGTCTGAATTTCCATCAGAGAAGGACCTTGGTTGTTTACATTTAGTCACAAGAGCAATAGTGAACTCTTAACACTGATGTTGGGCATTAAGGCCTGGCTCACAGCCGGCGTTCCAGTTCATCCCAAATGTGTTGGATGGGGTTGAGGTCAGGGCCAAACCTTTTCTTTATGGAGTTGGCTTTGTGTGCGTGGGCATGTCCTGTTGAACCTGGAAGGGGTCCTTGTTGCCACAAAGACTGAAGAACACTGTTTACTGAAATAACATTGTATGTTTGCCGGTTTCAATTAAGTGGCAAAACAGGCCCAGACCAAATGTACACAAGTATGTGGGCCTGCATGTTCACATACCGTGTGGCTTCAGCTCAGTTTGGCAGTCATCAGGTGAGTGTTCCAACCAGGACCATCTCAACAGCTGACCCGACTGATTTAACCCCTCCTGTGTGGGAGGACACTCAGGTCGAAGCAGCATGTTGAAGATGATTTTGTTGACGTAACCATAGGTGCCCTGATCTGGTTTTAAAGAGTAATTTCTACTGGTGCAGTGAACAGGAGCTGTTTATTTGACTTTGGGTAGCCTTTAATTGTCAAAGTAACATTTTGTTAAAATTAAAAGTAACAGCAGCGGTAGTCTGCGTGAAAGTCCTGATGGATTTATACTGGTTACTCACTCTGGAACAGAGACATGTTAGAAACAAGGCAAAGCCTGTCCTGTAAACATTTAGACTATGAATAGAAGACATTGATTAACTTCAGTATGGAATCTGTGGCCTGTGCTCTTTTTAAAATTAGAAATACGGTGATTTGATGCAGCTCAGGGAGATGTTTATCATAAGTGATAATTAATCTGGATAACGGCATGAATAACTTGATTGTTGTCTCTTAAGTGTTTAGTAATTAAGTCAGTTTGAGTGTAGACCTCAAACATATCTTTGCCATCTCTGTTCTCCCATTTCTTGTTACTAATCAGCTAGGGCTGAACGTTTTTGGAAAATAATCTAATTGCGATTTTTATTTCTTTATTTATTTTCTACCAATATCGCAATTGCAATTTAATATGCTATTAATATTAGTTTAAACATACAGTGTTCTTTCTTGTGGGTCAGGCCTGTGTTATAATGAAATTAGGTGTTGCATGAATTATTATTAAGAGCTATGGTGGAGAAGAAATATCAAATTTTAATAATATGAGAATGATAATTTGAGAGTCAAGTCATGGCATTACATTTATATGATATGGGCCTAATATCAGATAGGCATACCTACAGATCACAAGAACTGAGTTTACCACAGTGTGTTATACAGTAAGCGCTCAATACAAAACCCACAGTTCAACCATCTCCTATGTGTCCATCTTTCTATATCCCAGTAAGAAAACACAAAATACTTAGTTTGAGGTTCAATTAACCCCCCCCAGCCTCTGATGCTGGTGAGCAGCGCAGTGGCTGTAACTCGGGACAGACTGGGTCTCTTTCGGACTTGTGCGTTTAGTTTCAAACTTAAAAGATATTTTGTGTGTGTGTTTCTGTTGTGCATTTTTCCCGTCCAACAAAGCCGCGAATGGCCCGATGATTTCACCCACCACCAAATTACCCGCAGGTGGCGGTGCTACTCTCATTCCCTGTGTGACACTAAAGTTTTTGTCATGTCAGCTTCTGTCAAGTGTAAGGCCATTGTACAACAAGTCAAGGTACAGCGTAAGTTGTGAAGTTGGTGCTTCGTCTGCAGATGCTTTACTGTTGGGTGTCGCGTGACCAGAGTGTAATCACAGCCTTTGCGATTGTTTTATCACATCGCAATAATATCGCAAATGCAATTAATCGTTATGAGGTGTTCTATCACAGACCTCTATCGGTGTATAGACTGGTTTCTTGTATACAAACACTACTGGCTGTGCACACAGTCAGGGGGGCAAAAATGCTTTGGTAGCCGGTCAGAATTCTGTAGTCAACCACTGCAATCAACGTAGATTTCACATAGTTTGTAAATTGTTGTTGACTCAAAAATAGAGTTGGATCTGTTTGTTTGTGTTTCATTTGCATATTAATATAACATGCACAGCTGCGCTGCAGGTCAGTGGCACCGGACCTTATGTTATTCAAGTCAGCTAAAGGAAGAAAAGAAAGGAGAGAGGAGGCGGAAGAGGGGTGTTCTGTATAGTATTGTAAATGGCTGTCTATCAGAGACACACCAGACAGTGCTGTCCCGAGGGACAGTGCATTTAATAGGCACTTTGGGAAATATGATATAGTATGGAAAGCTGGTATAGAATGTCTAATCAGAATCATAAACTTGTTTACTTATTCTTTGATCAGAAAGTTGCTGATTTAAATCAGTGTTGCCAGTTTCAGACTGGATTTTATCTGGTCTTCAGACATTTAACAATTCAGCTTCAATTTTGGCTTTGGCTCTTTTGCTGTCATCAGAAATGGACATCGCTTCACATGGCATTTGAGAGGAAAGGATGTCTCATTTCTCTGACACATTTCCTCGTTTCTCCTTACATGCTTTCTTGTGTCTCCCCCGCTGGGAGGGACTAATGGTGCATTCCATTTGTACTCATTTTTTTTACCTTTCAGATTATTGTTCACATTTCATTCAAAATGGATCATTTCAAAACTAAATATCAAATCTGTTTTGTCAAAATTTGTGTGATGAGCGATCCATGTTTAATCTATAAATATAAAACACTTTCCACAAACACAAAATGAAGATTTGTAAACTCACAAAAAATATTGGCAAATGTAAAACTACCTGCAAATACACAAAAATTGCACAAAAATTGTTGGGAAAAAAACAACAAATGCAAAACAAAATGACCCCCATACCGATTGTTCAAAATGGCAGAAATAATGTCCAGGTGCAAATAGCTTATATGGATAGATTTGACTGGATTCACAGAATTCAGAAGAATTTTGTTTCTGAGACTTAAGTTGCTTAGGTCCCGATATATAAGGTGCGCTCGATATGACTGAGGCTGACTTTAGCTGACTTGATAGTTAAACGTGAGCTGCCGGCGACTGCCATTAAGTCGGACACATTCTACTTCACGTAGAGTGCGTGAGCTTAGAACAATGACTGGCTTAGGCCTAGGCCTATGGTATAGGACAATGCCTTTACTCCTTTCTGGGGGGGGAAAAAAGGATTTAGCCTAGGCCATGTAAATAATTTCAAACGAAAAAATTGTTTAAATTGTACAAACAAACAAATCACCATGGAGCACCCAGTCTTAATCTAGTAAAAAACAAAAAAAAACAACCATATTTTTTTATAATTAAAGATATGGGGCAAAATGAGTGATTTAGACCTGGGTTGTCGTGTCCTTGTTGCGCACTGGGAAGACCAACATTTTCACCGTGTCTGGTTTCCTTTTTGTCATGTTTGTACCTTGGTGTGGTTTAGGTACAGAATGATGCAAATGTCCTGTGCTGGTGTTACGTAACTTCCCTTTTGTTGTATCTTTATGCCATCACTAATTGGATCATTTTAAAACATAGTACTGCATGTACCCTAACATGTGAGTTGACAGATGAATTCAAAGAACGTCTTCACAAAGAAAATCAACGTGTGCAGACTTGAAACCTGACAGGAAAATCTATCACAGTTAACATCTTGTTTTTTTTATTGTGGTTGTTCTGTTATCGTAAGAGAACGTCGATTTGAACATTGTGTAATGGGACCAACAGGTTTGATGTTTACTGTGATGGATTACCTAATTTTGGCAAGGTTCATGTCTTTGCAGGCAGCTTTTTCATAATGTGCACAAACCTTACTACTGATGAAGAACGTCAACAGTTCATACACACAGAGGTAGGTGTGTTTGTGTGACAGACACTGAAGGGAAAAATGAGGTGAGCAGATTAAACTAGTTTTATGTACAATTAAAATGGTGAGAAATAATCTAGGGTAATTTATTCTTAATATTTTCAAATTAAATATATACACCCATCCCCACTAAAATCAGCATGGTTAAAGTATCTTTTTGTCAGGTATTAGGTATTATTATGAAATTACCTGTATTAGCCAAAAAATTAAATTCCTGGTTATTTTATCCATAAATATTTAATAGATTTTTTTTTTTTTACGGCAACATGATTATTAGCTGGGCCCGACAAATCGAAAAAAAAGTAATTTACTGCCCTGATCCATAGCGTTGCTACAGGAAATGATGTGGCTTATCCTATCAATACACAGGATGTGATGCTGTATTGAGAGCAGTATAGCCAGCACTAGTGCGTATGTTATTCTTATCCTGGTTTACTCAGTTATCACTGAAAAT